GCTCTCGCGCCGGCCACATTGCACGCTACTGTCGCAATCGTTGGACATCCAATTCATCTTGGAACACTGGGACATGGCGTCGCTTTGAAGGCAATTCTCGCCACTTTTCTACCCCATATGATCCACAGCCTGCTCCTACTAACGTTCAGGGCCGAAGGTTCAGCCGGTCACCATCACCCCAAGGCCGCCGATCTCTCTCGCCGATGATTTCTCGATCCAGGACCCCTGCACGACCTGGGCCCTCAGCCTCGGGAAACTAGACCATGCAGCTCCTGGAGGTGACGCTGCATTAACGACCCGTTCTGCAAATCCTCTGTTGACGATTCCTACACGCCGCAATATTTTGGACCTTTTGGTGGATGACGTTACCGTACAGCCCTCGTAGCGACTGGCGCACAAATTTCAGTCATGAGCGCTGCTCTCTGTATTAAACTGCGAAAAGTGATCACGCCTCCTATTAAGTGTGCAGTAATGCTTGCCGATGGGAGCACATCTATTGTTCTCGGCATGTACACCTCTCGCGTGTGCATTGCTGGGCGCCAGACCGTCGTATTGTTCACCGTGCTTGAGCAGTGTCCACATGACGTGATTCTTGGTCTCAACTTTCTCTTTGCGCACTCCGCCTTTATCGACTGCTCGACGGGTCTTCTTCAGTTGGAACTGCCTTTTGACGCCGCTGTCACCCGTGATGTTCAAAGTCGCCTTTGTGCCACCGAGTTCCTGCATCTTCCACCGCAAGCCGCGACTTACGTGCAGCTCGTGTGTGATCCGCCTGTGCGCAATGGTGAATATGTCGTTTCACCTATTACCGACGTTGTGCTAAAGCACTCCATGCTGTCCCGCACACCGTGGTGAGAGTACGCCACAACCAGACCCATCTGTCTCTTTTGAACTTTGGTTTCTCTGCGCACGTGCTGCCTGCTGGTATTAAACTAGGCGTCATGTCGTCGTTGCATGAGTGTGATATTTCTGAACTGTCGGCTCAGCAACCTACTCCGCACGTCAACTTGCTTACTGCGCCCAACCTGTCAAGCATTGACATTGCTAAAATGATAGCGCCAGATCTTTCGCCCTCCGAAGCACAAGACCTCCACCGTCTGTTGACATGCTATGTGGACATATTCGATCTTGACAACTGCCCTTCAGGCCAAACATCACTTGTGACCCATCACATCAACACCGGCGATGCCAACCCAATTCATCGCCGCCCTTACCGCGTCTCCGCTGCCGAACGCTCTGTCATCCAGAAAGAGGTCGAGAAAATGCTCGCCAAAGGCGTCGTCAAACACTCATCTAGTCCGTGGGCATCCCCGGTCATGCTTGTCAAGAAGAAGGACAACACATGGTGGTTTTGCGTCGACTATAGACATCTCAACAAGGTCTCTAAGAAGGACGTTTACCCCCTTACCAAGAATAGATGACGCCCTTGACTGCCTTCATGGCACAAAGTTTTTCTCGTCCATTGACCTTCGATCTGGTTATTGGCAGATTGCTGTTGACCCAAGGGACCGAGAAAAAACAGCATTTGTAATCCCTGATGGGTTATACCAATTTAAAGTAATGCCGTTTGGGCTTTGTAATCTGCCGGCCACCTTTGAGCACTAGATGGATTCCCTTCTGCGTGGCTTCAAATGGTCCGCTTGCTTATGCTACTTAGATGATATAATTGTTTTTTCACCGACGTTCGCAAGCCATCTTGAGTGACTGTCCAGTACTCTCCAAGTATTCCGCAACGCTGGTCTCCAGCTGAACTCCTCCAAATGCCGTTTCGGCCGTCGTGAAATAACTGTACTTGGTCACCTCGTTAACGCATCTGGGGTACAGCCCGATCCGGACGAAATTCGCGCAGTGACTCAATTTCCCGTGCCCTCTTCTCCTAAGGATGTCCGGAGCTTCCTTGGTTAGTGCTCCTATCTTCGCCGCTTCATCCGGAATTTCGCCGATATTGCGCCGCCTCTCACCGAGCTTCTTAAAAAAAACGTCCCATTTACTTGGAATTCGCCTCAAAGTGCTGCATTTTCGGCGCTCATTGCAGCCCTCACGACTACGCCAATATTAGCCCACTTCGATCAGACTGCCCCGACAGAAGTTCGTACGGACGCGAGTGGCCACGGAATTGGTGCTGTTTTAGCTCAGCGTCATCATGGACGTGACTGTGTCATCGCCTACGCCAGCCGCCTTTTACCCCTGCCGAGAGGAACTATTTCATCACCGAAAGAGAGTGTCTTGCTCTTGTTTGGACTGTCTCTAAATTTCGCCCGTACCTCTTCGGCCGCAGTTTTACTGTTGTAACTGATCATCATGCACTCTGCTGGCTTTCCTCGCTCAAGGATCCCACGGGACGTCTCGGTCGTTGGTCTCTCCGCCTCCAAGAATACACCTTCTCGGTCATGTATAAATCTGGTCACCTCCATCAAGACACCGACTGCCTGTCACGATATCCAGTGGATCCACCAGATGCCTCAGAGAGAGCTACGGAGGCTTGCGTCTTCTCAATATCAGACACTTTTTGATATCGCTTCTGAGCAACGCCGCGACCCGGATTTACTTCCCATCATAGAAAGCCTGAGTTCCGCTACTCCACCCACTTCTCTGAACCTGTATTTCCTTCATGAAGGTGTTCTCTACCGCCACAACATGCGCCCTAATGGTCCTGACCGCCTTCTCGTCGTGCCTTTCCATTTGTGAGTAGATGTTCTCCAACAGCTTCACGATGAACCTGCCGCTGGTCACCTGGGAGTCACCCGCACTTTTGATCGCGTCCGGCGCCGTTTTTTCTGGCCACGCCTATATCGCTCTGTGCAAAAGTATGTCGCCAGCTGCCTTTGTCAACGTCGAAAACGACCCACATCACTTCCAGCTGGCCTTCTTAACCCTATTGAGATCTCTGCTGAGCCATTCCACCTCGTAGGGCTTGACCTTCTCGGGCCGTTTTCCACTTCTGCATCCGGGAACAAATAGGTTGCCGTGGCGACCGACTACGCGACACGTTACGCGATCACCTGCGCTCTTCCAACCAGCTGCGCTACCGATGTCGCCGACTTTCTACTGCATGGCATCATATTGCATCACGGCGCTCCTCGACAGCTCGTTACTGACCAAGGCCGATACTTTTTACCTCGCCTCGTCCAGGATATCGTACGTTCCTGTTCCACGAACCACAAGTTCACAACGGCATACCATCCACAAACTAATGGACTTACAGAGCGCCTGAATCGCACTATCACGGACATGTTGTCAATGTATGTTTCTCCAGACCTCCGTGACTGGGACGCAACGTTACCCTACGTCATCTTCGCTTACAACTCCTCCAGACATGACACCGCAGGCTATTCCCCGTTCTACCTTCTTTATGGACGGGAACCCTCTCTGCCTCTTGATACACTCCTTCCCGCTGGTTCAAGCTCCCCTGTCACATACGTCCGCGATGCCATAGAGCGAGCCGACGCAGCACAACAGATTGCTCGAGAACGACTCATACTTTCTCAAGCCTCTCAGAAAGAACGATACGATCGTCACCACCGCGAAGTTTTGTATGCACCAGGTTCTCTCGTACTCTTGTTGACCCCATGTCGTCACATCGGCCTCTCAGAAAAACTTTTATTTCGCTATGACGGACCATACAAAGTCCTGCGCAAGATCACCAACCTCACCTACGAGATACAGCGAGTCGTCGACGAAGCGCACTCAATGCTACCACCATCCACTGTTGTGCACGTCGTAAGACTGAAACCTTATGTGTCACCCAACACTCCCCTTTCGTGACAAGCGTAGGGTCGGCGCTTTAACGCCGCGGGGTAGTGCCACAAGGCAGCAGTGGGATTGGGGCATAAAGCGGTAGAGGGTCCCTGTTTGAATGAAATGACTACGAAGTGGATAGAGACTGGTCCCAGCCCGCCAGTGTGCCAGGCATTGTCGTTGCGTGTAATCGTCGTAAATATCTGCAAATATACGTTTCCTTGTAAGATGATTTACTGAAAATTTTGACATGTTCAGCTCCAAGTGATTTTGAATTCTGTTTTTTTCTGCTGCAAAACAGACTTTTTATTCCCTGCTCCAAAAATTTCTCCAAATCCAAAACTGGCTGGACCACCCATGCTACTAGTAGTCGGCTAGTGATTTGAGGTAGTAGCTACTGGTACCAGTGGCGTAGACGGCAACTCGTTTCAGGCGGAGGTTGGGGGGAAGCGCCCTTGATGCGACATGGGGTCTGGGCAGGTGACTGTCTTTTGCAGGTGGTCAAGTGTCATTTTGTGCTCCCTGTCCCATGGGAAAACAATTTCTTGGTGGGAGAATGGCTCGGTGTGCCTCTGCCTGGTTATGCCACTGACTGGTACCAGTAGTAAAGTGCTAGTAGCTAGCGTGTTTAGTCCACTACTCGGGTACGTAGCTGAAAAGCTTAAAAAACACAATAAAGACCTGCAGTATACATCCTAATTTTTTTAAGTCTATGATTGCGTGTAATAACGGTATCAGACCAAAATTACTTCTAATGTGATCCTTAGGGTGTCCACAGTTCAACAAATGGCTATAGATGTTGTCGCTCATGCTACGACTGAAAACTAAGCATTTACTTACCATGAGGACGCAGCTGAGCAATTTTGCGGTGCGCAGCCATTTTCGTTTACTCGTTTTTCAAAGACTAAACATACGACGCCTCTGCTCGGGGCTTTTGAGAAGCAGCTTATGCCTACTGCTGCTAGATAAATTTGAGCACTCAAATATCGAATTGTGGTGGTCTCTAGCCTTTTAAACAACGGGACCCATTTTGGTACTCGGAGAAACTCCTCAGTCGTGTTTAAGCCATGGGTACTGTATGTATGTCCCCTTGAGGCACGAATTATGATGCGCTATCTACAAATGTGTAATTCACATAATGTAATGCGATGATACTCAATATTACAGTCTAAGAAAATCATGTGTGGGCATTTAGTTTTTGCTTGCATTCATTTCGAGAAAAGATAAGTAATACTTTTGACGTTTCATGAACATGGCATATCTGAAAACTTGTCAAACGTATTTATTTCACCAACGAGATTGGCTACAATTATACGCAGCACATCGAGGTTGAGTCAAGTCATACTGAAAATGCAGAAGGTTCTATTCATCTCATGAACAATGTATCTTGTTCTTTTTTGGCCACAAGTTGACAAAACTAGCATAAACAAGTCACGCACACAAACATGGCCACTGCCTCTGATGGGGACATGTCTGTATATTAGCCTAATTTCATGGATTAAATAGACTCTCGCTTAGCTTTAGCTTTGTGTCTGATTTTGATCAGGAATTTTGCAATATACCATACCTAAAGCCATTTTTTGTCTAATGCTTTTACTTGATTCAAAAATTTTAGTATTCACACAGCCACGCAATGCTTGCTTATAAATATAAATAAACACTTATGATAAAAACATAAGCTTGTTCAGCACAAAAGCTTGAGTAATCTGGTATGTGTAGGAAGTAATGTCCACCAGCAAGGGACTTCGAATGCTGAAAAACCTTCTGGGGAATTGGAGTAGGCTAAAGCCATGCTTTCAGACCTTGCAATGTTTTTTTTTTTTTTTACATAGAACATATGAATTAAGGTTTTTACAGTTCATTTATATTTAATGCTAGGCAGCATTCTGCAGTGAATCCCCACTAATCCTTTCAGTCATGGTGTGCATAAATGTACACGCCAACTTCAAAGGCACATCACACACCACGTTTCATCGAATGGCTTGAAACTTGGTGTGCACATTCATGCAGGCCTCCTGAGTGGACAACTGGCGATTATTTAACTTCAGCAGGAAACGCTAGTACAGGTGCCAGAAGGAACAGCAGGTGGTTGAGCTTGATGGGTCCAATCGGTGATATTGTAGATGCTGTAAATACATGGGTGGATCTTCTGGGTGATGTGGCGAAGTATGAAAAGGGCATATGTTGCCATATATCTCCAAACATTCATTTCCAATCAGGTCCTATAGTTAGCCTTGCTGTACACCATAATAAAGGAGTAGAGTGAGTTTTGGTCAAATGGCTTCATGTCCTTTAACTTGAATGAAGAAGTGCCAGTTAGCAGGATAGGCAACAATAATGTTGATGTCAAGTGTAAAAGCATTTGAGCTGCGAGATGCGTGTCGGGCTTAACGATGCGCCGATTGTGGCATGCTTCGAGCGATAAGAAAGGTTACTAATGTTTTGAACAACCATAAATGGGTCTTCCCATCAGGGGCAAGTGAAGGCTAAAAAGTTGAACCGAGTTGCTTAAACAATGTGGACGGTGTAATGGTGTAACTAGATGAGTGGCTTGTTACTGATTGTCGCTCCAGTGCAAGTGCTATAGACATGCTAGAGGGAGCCTAGCATTATCCAACTGCTCAAGAGTAGCAGTGACAGCATTTGTAAGCTTTTTGTGTTAAGCCTTCATTAAATTATGGCTGTAGGAAATGCAATGAGTACAGTGGTACCAAGTTAAGGCATAGTAAAGATAATGTTTCCTGCCAAAGTTATGAAATGCAGGTTTTGACACAATAGCGTTAAAGAGCGCATTTCACAGAAATTCCAGCATTGGCATCAGTGTCAACATGGGCGTCGGTTGTGAGCGAAAAATCATCTTGTGTGTGACCGAAAAACCTAGAAATATGCAAATGAAATAAATAATATAAATTCCAGGTCCGAGTGAGAATCAAAACCAGGTCGTTTTCCTGGCAGGCAGGTGTTCTATGACACCTGCCTGCCAGGAGAACTTCCTCTGCTTGGAAATGGAGTGAAAGTAATATTATTGCTTTACAAACACACATGTCCTTTATACAGGCTTCACAATACATGTAATATCGCAATAATATTGTGTGGTACAAGCATACAATGCCATCAGGCATTAGAACATGCAATTATCATAATGACTTTGTGGCTTTAAAGCGGCCACCCACTACTAAAGGCACACATGCTACAGCACATATTCCTCTAACACCATGTAGCGGATGCATAGCAAGATTGAAAAGATTTCATGTGCATAATTGATTGTGGTTTAAAGCATGCTACTCATTACACAGAATGCAGCCACATGAAAAAGCTTCATTGACACAAGCCACTTTAATATAATTATTACATTGTAGTAGTCTATGGTTTCAAGATTTCTTTTACAAGGCTGCTGTGATAGCTCAGTGGTTAGAGCATCGAATGCGTAATTCGAAGATTTCTTTCACATGTCTAAACTATTCCAGCATCATGCATCAATGGCTGTATTGGTAAATGCTGCTGTATTTAAAGTTTATTTGAGGCATTTTTTTAACTGCTAAACTGCCACATCACAATGCTTGTATACAATGCATTACAAAAATTGACTTCATACCTACAATTTTTTTTTTTTTTCAAAACATGCGTACTGGTGTAACAATGACGCAAGTTGCAGGAAGGCTTTCCTTAAAAAAAAAAGCAATAGGCATAGTGCATCATTTATTTGTGACTAAAGTTACACGATAATGTAGACTTTGTCATTGAGAGCCTGCTTGTCATTGGCTGGCAGAAAATGATAATTTTGTTGGTACAGTCTGAACATGAAGCGAGAGAACATGAAGCTCCTGCATAGGTCGTGAAAAGCCTACAGTATGTTCAAATAAAAAAAAAGAGTTCAGTGCAGTTACAGTGTAAGCTTGCTTTGCTGAATTCATTTTTATTTATCATTTATTTTTAAAAAATGGGAAGGCTGCATTTTGCACACATTACAGAAAGCTAGACACGAGTGACCATCAGCATGTTGTCATAATCTACGCATTGGAAGACACTTTATCTAGCATGTATGTTCTGTCATACAACTGTGAAAGTTTTCAATAGGCATTGTCCCTGCAGATGGGAGGAAAGGCATTGAAGCCACCAGAATTTCCATCACACACAGCTTTAACCCATATGTGAAGGTTACCAGTTGTAATGTTTCGTACAAAAGATGTTGTATTTGTATGTATCATATGAACCTCTGCACCACTTTTTAACCATGCTTCATAATAGCAATGACTGAAACTAGCTAATGCTACGTTCCATGGCTCAAGCCAGGAGACTACCAACTGTGTGTTGCTTTCAGAATGCTTGTGCACTTCACATTTCAGTTCCAGAATTTTTCCTGGAAAAATATTCTTGTTATGGTTATTGCGTATAAGAATATGTTCAGTAGATAGGTTGATAACCATTGGGACAACTGATGTGTCCACTGCCGTGTCCTGATAAATGTGAAAGAGCCAGTTGGGATTGTCACAGCACAAGTGTGGTGGAACTTCTTTGCTTAGGAGTATCTCTTGCTGGGTTTCCAGTTGCAAGTGATATATTCCACCATACTGTGGCTCAAATTCAGGGTGAAAAACTGTGTTGGCCTTGTTTGTATTTCTCCATGCTGCATAGGAAATATCCATTGATGGAAGATTTGCGAGGATTTTGTATGGAGTGTAGTTGTCAGGATTAATGCCATACGGAAACAGTTCTAACACTGATGACCCTGGGTGCAAGAACATTGATAAAATCAATGCTGAGCCATGCATACTTATTAGAAGCCGTGTGCGTCTCAGCAAGGTTACTACTTCTCGGATAGCTTCACTTTCCAGGTTAATGACTACTGGTGTAAGCTTGGTGTGCCGCTTCACAATGTTGACTAGCTCACCTAGGTTTGTGATAAGCCTGTTCTTGGTTCTAGATATTATGAGTGCATGGCTCCTGTTTATCTCCGATTTCAATGGTATATCAAGTGCATGAAGGAAAAATTGAGCAAACAAACCAACTTCAGCCCCTGCTGTCTTAAGGTTACTGTTGAGAGGGCCTTGTGGGACTACAAAACCATATTGGTACCACGTACTGTCCTTTCGCAATCCAACAAATGCCCTTCTAAAGCGGTACCACTTAGACACTTGAGTTCTGTGCAGTATCTTTCCATTTTTGATAAGGGCTTTATACAGCTGCCAGTAAGGTCCCTTTTGTCTTTCATCAGCCAAAAACAGTGTAATGTTGTCAAGGCAGTGCAGCACTTCTACATTACTGCTGCAGCTACGTATTTCTCGAACAGTCGAAAATATTGGTATGAGGTCATCGTGAAACACATGCATCAAATTGTTCGGATTGAAACGACTGACCACAAGCGTGTCACTGTCAATATCTACAACATCGAGCTCTGAAAATGCCGACAAAGGTACGTCCACAAAATTAAAGTAAAATGCCCCATGATCGCTTACGGACGACAGATCGGTAAGCGCAGGATCATTTCTTTTGTTCAGGTCGCCAAGCAGAGTCGTTCCTGGGCCATGTAAAAAAACGAAATCTCCCGTGTCTCCTCGATAATACAAGTTCTTAAATACGCATGTCCTCACAGTATAGTTGGATCCACGACACCACACAGAGCTCGATGCCTTGACCGGGGCCGCTTCAGAATGTGTGATATCTGTTAGTCTACAACTGCTATCGACGTACTCATTCGTGTAATCTAGTACACGGTCAATCAAAACGCATGCAAGTACACAAATAACATGGCTGGGACGAAGAAACATGTCGAACTGTGCACCCCATTAGAAGATCAATTCCACTTCACGAGAACGTTATGAACGCACACCATGAACAACTTCTAAGAAAGTCTAAGAGCTTATCTGTACCGCAGTCTCTCCTCAGTTTCACAACAAAGCTAAAAATTTGGTCCAAACAAAGTACCACGAGTCACTCGAAAGAGAATCGGCGAGTCCAAACCAAGCAAATTTATGCCAGAAGCACTAAACTGCTTCAAAAGTGCGGCTAAAAGTGCTAATACGGAGGGAGCGAAACGTGCAGCACCTAAACAACCCACAAATCAACTGTGTCCTACAGGAGACAGTTGTGGCACCACACGTAATCACACAAGATAACCCGCGATTCAGGCAGACAGCTGTCCTTTGAAGAATGCCTTCCCCCATAGAGAAACTGCACAGGCTCTCCAAACTCAACAACCACGCGAGTTGGGAATCTTCCGCGCTTCGCCGCTTATGCTGAAGGCGTTTATGCATCCAGTGTCGGTGCCTGACGCTTGTCGCCAATGTATCCTTCTGCGTAGATCGGCGGCGACAGACACGAAGTCTTTGTACAAGCAAGGTGGTGGTGGTAGCGAGGTGGTGGTGGTAGTGATTAGAAGATGAAGGCGCCTAATTTCTGCAGCCCGGTAGGAAGCACGGCACAGAGCCTAAACTTCGCAAGGAGAGGCAACACCGGCTAGTATCGCCACAGACCATTTGTATCACTGCTAGTGCCGTTGTCACTGAACACCTACCAGTGTATCGGTACGGGCATAGCACGGAACACTATAACTTATACCTCCTAGTCTCCTAGCTTTCCCTCCATAGCCTCCTAGATTTCCATTGCCTGCCGGATGAGCGCGAAACGCCCGTCATCTATGACGACGCTACCTACTTCGGGATAAGGGTATTTGTATTTGGCCTTTGAGATTGGCAATTTTAGTGTTTGCTACTAATTTTAAAGGCTATGCCTTGTATTAGAAAAGTTGCCTGCTTAATGACGGCGTCACTTACGTAAGGTTAATTATAATTACGTTTACGCTTTTTTTTAACTTTTTTACGTTATTTTTTTGCATATAAGTTCCAAAAACATAAAAATGTATTTGAAAACACCCCTACTTAGGTGGCATCATCACTATAGTTCTGACGACGGCAGCTTTCCAAGCAACCACCGATAATCCGGCTGGCAAGAGAAATCTAGGAGGCTGTGGTATGGGCCGTGACACGTCTAGAGAGCCAATGGTGATGTAATGGTGACAACAATTTTGAATAGAGTGCCTCGATGCGCGCGCCCCCGGAGCGCGTGGGCACCGAAATTTGGAAGCGAGAGTAGCGTCGCACAATAAAAAGTACTACAACAAAATTATTGAAATAATACTTTGTGAGTGAAGAAGTCATAGTGCAGAAGACTTTGTTGGCTCTAGCCATAGCCTCCTAAATTTTGTTTGCCTGCTGAATGAGCGCGAAATGCCGGTCATCTATAACGGCGCTGCCTACGTAGGAATTAAAGTATTTGTACTTGGCCTTTTAGATTGGCAACTTTGGCGTTTGCTACAAGTTTTAGAGGCTATGCCTTGTATTTTAAAAGTTGCCTGTTGAGTGACAGCGTCACTTACATAGGGTTAATTATAATTACGTTTACGCCTTTTTAAATTTTTACGTTATTTTTTTGGCAAGGTTCTGTTTGGCGTTTTATAGATCAGTTGCCAGACTTTGCGGTGGTTGTTGCCAGGCTGCCACCAAATTTAGTAGATAAATTTACCCTATCAGTTGTGGCTTCTCCGTGAGGGTTTGGTGTTGTCCGCAGTGCATTTTGCGAGTGCGTGAGCTACGTTGGCCGTTTTAATTAACAAAATAAACGTAAAACGAGTGTTCCAAAAGTCGGGGCGCGTTCTTTTCCTGTGTGCGCTGCTGTGCAATTAAGAGATCGTGTCTCAGAGTTAAGGAATCAACGACGCGTCGTCCGCCGTGCAAAATTTCGCGAGTGCGATTACTGTTTCGCGAGTGTGTGTGCGACGTAATTTAACGCAATGAACCGCGCGTTACAGAAGTAGGGGCCCATTCTCTTGCTATGTGCGCAGCTGTGCAATTAAGAGATCGCGGCACAGTATTAGGGTTGACGGGTAATGCTGAATAGAGTCGCAGCAGGCGGTGCGCTGCCCCCCCCCCCCCTTCTTTTTTTTTTCACAGCTGATCGTGCCGCGTCGACCGCGGGCCACGACGGGGACGCTACGCTTTCCCTAGCTGTGTCAGCACAAGACATATCGTTCGGACTCGTGTACATGTGACGAATAAACGTCCCAAGGCTGGCTAATCGGGGTACGTCGGATATGCTACAGCTATACACGCCTGGAAGGCTGCTTTATCGACGCACTTGGAGCGAATTAAGCATGACTCGCGCGTACCTGTAAATGGGACCTCGCATAAGCATTCATTATTTGGAATTTTGGTCGTTTGTGCTTATTGCGGGTGGGCCCTGCAAGCGACGGTGGCTGGTCGGTGGGGTCCTATTGACAGGTACGTTGAAGTCCTTAATTTTTTTTTCATAAATATTGCCACGTTCCATTTCCCAAGTTTTTGTTATCATTCCAAAACACCACACGATTCTCAGCGCAAACCGCGCCTGCAGTTTTAGAGAAGGCTCCGGACTGTAGTAGATAATTTCGATAAGATCACGATCACTGTGCGAACGGCTCAGATTGTTCTGGAACCTACGCCACCACCAGCGATAACGCTAGAACATTCGACGGCTAGAGTATAAATGCTGACGCGCTTCGCCGCTTGTCAGTTGTTGATCGAAGGCCGACGCTCCGTTCACCGCTATCAGTCCGAGACTGCTATCTGTGCGAGACTGCTGCTGTAATTGGACTTTCCGTTTACCGGGCACAGGTTCGCCCAAATAAACAGTTAAATCCCAACACGAAGTCTCCTGTCTTCGGCCACGTCACGACCCCGTGACATCTGGTGGAGGTGCTGCTTCGTTCATGTATACCGGACGCCCCCGTCAAGCCGTGAACCCAGCCCACGTCGCGGAGAAAACACCGACGCCAACCAGGAGCAGCGAACAAGCCGCCGACAGCAAGCGCTACCACCGGAGTACGGGCTTCTACAAGACAAGGCGCGGAAGACCAAGGCCATGACCACGACTGCAGCGACAATGACAACCGCAGCGTTTCAGCCCACGATGGTCATGCATCAACCCAGGGAACCACCAATTTTCCATGGGTCATCGTTCGAAGACCCGGTGTCCTGGCTAGAAACGTACGACCGTGTGGCCGCCCTCAACCACTGGGGCCATGACGAAAAGCTGCGTCGTGTGTTCTTCTATTTGGAAGACACCGCAAGGACCTGGCTCGAAAATCGGGAGTCCACGCTCCGAACGTGGGATGTTTTCTGCGGTGCATTCCTGCAAACGTTCGCGAGCGTCGCTCGCAAAGAGAGGGCCGCTGCTTTATTAGAGACCCAGGTTCAGCTACCAAATGAAAATGTCGCCATTTTCACAGAAAAAATGACCCGACTATTCCGTCACGCTGACCCAGACATGCCTGAGAAAAAAAAAGTTCTTTTCCTCATGCGAGGGGTCAAACAGGAGCTCTTCGCGGGACTGATGAGAAACCCGCCAAACACCGTCCAAGAATTTGTAGCCGAAGCGACCACTATCGAAAAAATCCTGGACATGCGCACCAGACAGTATAATCGTCGCCTGACTGCAGACTGCGCTGCTGCTCAAGCCAGTAACTCCGGAGACCTGCGTGAAACGATCCGAGCGATCGTGCGGGAAAAGCTGCGCAAGCTGTTGCCTTCGGCGCAGCCTCAAGTGGATTCAATCGCCGACATTGTGCGAGAAGAAGTTCGGCAATCGCTTCGAATTCCCCAAGCACCGCTGCCCGAGCCGGAAGCTATGAGCTACGCCGCTGCACCGCGCCGCAACGCTCCTCCCCGTGCACACCAAAACGCTGCCCCATCGCACTTCCGTCGACATACGCCACCGCCCCCACCAACGTCATACCGTTCGCCAGCGGCCCAGCGCAGTGCACCGAGGAAGACTGACGTCTGGCGCACCCCTGACCATCGCCCACTCTGCTACCACTGCGGCGAGGCCGGACACACATACCGCCGTTGCCAGTACCGACAGATGGGACTGCGTGGCTTCGCCGTCAATGCACCGCGTCCACAGCCAGGAGAACGACCACGTGACATCACCGACTACCTGACAGGAACTCGGTGGACACCACGAAGCCCTTCGCGTTCACCGTCGCCCAGCCGCCGCACGTCACCGCACCACCGGCAGTACTCTGGCCCAACGCGGGGCCGGTCTCTTAGCCCGTATCCGGGAAACTAAGGGCAGCAACCGATGGAGGTGCGGTTGCTGTGCGACGAACTACCGAAGATCCTCCTCCGACGACGACGCCGCGATGGAGCTTTCCGAACACAACGCCAACCAGGCAAAGCCCTGACGGCGAAAGCTCACTTACCGAAGGTGGCCTGACGACGCAACATGGAAGCAGCGGAACAAGCCGACGCAGCCGTGACCCGACGCCACGCCCTAACTGTAATGCGAGACGGCGAACTAGCGACCTCGACGTTCTTATAGACGGCCACAGTGTGATCGCTCTCGTCGATACTGGAGCCGACTATCTTGTCATCAGTGGGTCGTTCGCCGCGAATTTAAAGAAAGTTAGGACAGCTTGGAAAGGCCCTGCAATCCGCACAGCCGGAGGTCATCTCGTAACGCCTGCAGGAATCTGCACAGCGAGAGTCACCATTAACGGCCGTATTTATCCTACAGACTTCGTAGTCCTACAGCGTTGCTCGAGAGATGTCATCCTTGGCATGGACTTCTTATGCCTCCATGGTGCTGTCATCAAGCTAAAAAGAAAGTCGATAACGTTATCCACAGAAGAAGCACTACCGCCGCGCACGCCGTCAGGACACCATGCCTTGAATGTGCTGGAAGAACAAGTCACCATTCCACCTCGCTCAAGCGTAGTTGTTTCAGTCGGCGCTCCTAAATCACCTGACTTGGAAGGCGTCGTTGAAGGCAGTCAGCATCTGTTGGTCGCCCGAAATATTTGCGTCGCAAGAGGAATTGCAGAGCTGCGGGGAGGCAAAGCAACGGTTATGCTCACGAATTTCAGCAATGAGTACAAACATGTGAACAAAGGAACAACGGTCGCATACATCGAAGAAATTGTCGAAGCCACCAGTGCTTTCGCCCTCGCCGATTCTGCAGAACCTGCTCAGAGGAACCAAGCCCCTCCCATAGCTTTCGACGTCAATCCCAGACTTCCGAACGACAAGCAAGAACAGCTCAAGGCCCTGCTCCTGCAATACGAAGATTGCTTTTCGTCATCATCGAAAATGCGGCAGACCCCAATCACGAAGCATCGCATCATAACCGAAGAAAATGCCAGACCACTCCGTCAGAGTCCGTACAGGGTTTCGCCGCGAGAACGTGAGGCCATGAAGAGACAAGTTGATGAAATGCTGCGGGATGACATCATCCAGCCGTCCAAGAGTCCATGGGCATCCCCCGTGGTTTTAGTGAAGAAAAAGAATGGGACCCTACGTTTCTGCGTCGATAATCGCCGCCTGAACAAAATCTCAAGAAAGGACGTGTATCCTCTCCCACGAATAGACGGCGCACTTGATCGGCTCCATAACGCCAAGTACTTTTCGTCAATGGACCTCAAGACTGGCTATTGGCAAATCGAAGTCGACGAAAGAGACCGAGAGAAGACGGCGTTTATAACACCGGACGGCCTCTTCGAGATTAAGGTGATGCCCTTCGGCCTTTGCTCAGCGCCTGCAACTTTTCAACGCGTTATGGATACAGTATGGCAGGATTGAAGTGGCAGACTTGCCTTGTGTACTTGGACGACGTCGTCGTGTTTTCCTCGAGTTTCGACGAGAATCTTCGGCGCCTTGA